AAAATATACATAGAAAAAAAACTAGTCACAAGTTAAAAATATTGAATCATAAATTGTGAATAAAACGAAAGATAATTTTGAACATTACAATAATCAGTATGAAATTTTTGAAAGTGTCAAAAAACAAATATTATGTATAAACATGAGCTTCACATACCAGATTAAATAAAATCAAATCTAAATTGGCATAATTGAAGTACTTAAATAATCCTGAGTACTATAAAAACAGTTTTCCAGGAGCTCAGTTCTGACTCTGTTTTTGAAGGCGCTTTATCGAGTACAATATTGTGTAAAACAAGACTTTTGTACTCCCTGGACAAAGTTTTATTATGGTATATACTATACTGGTCATAATAGCGCCAGTTCTGGGACCAAAAATAAGAAGAAAAGGAAGAAGAAGAAGAAGAAGGAGCTTTGTTTGAGCATTTTAAACAAATTAGGAAGATGATTGTAGAGATTAATATTCAATGAATTTTTAATAGACCTTGTGAGTTTGTATCGAGGCTGCATGAACAGATCTGCATTTCTTGTAGCATGATGATGAATATCCTGATGCTGCGAATAGATTGATTTATTTTTATCGATTCCAAGTAATTGACTAGATATGAATACCGATGTTAGTGGTAATATTTCCATTTTTTTAAAAAGCTGCTTACAGTAATCTATATGATTGGCATTCATCAATATTCTGACTGCTTTTTTCTGAAGTCTGAAGATTTTAATGGAGTGAGAGGAATTACCCCCACTATGCCATAAAGTTGTGTCATCTGCGAAAAAAAATACATTTACCTGGTGACATAAATTGAATGAAGTCATTGAATTATATCAAGAATAGCAATGGTCCCAGAACGGATCCCTGCGGTACCATTCTTGATAGTTTTATTGTCATTTATTTTATTTCACTGTAATTTCATTTCAGTTTTTTTGCTTAATATAATTGTTATTTTTAGTTATTCTTTTTAATTTACATTGTTCTCTTCAGAATTTTAAATTATTTTATATAATATTAGACAATGGAAGTCCGAACTAATGAAATATTATAATTATGGACAGTGAATTTTACGACTTTGGATCAATGTTTTCCTGTTCCATCTGAGGGATGCCTGTTGAGAGATTCAATACGTGACGAATACAGTCGTTAATCGACCAAACTATCATTCCGAGAGATCGATTTTTTCATTTTGAAAAATTCCTGTTTGCCAACATTTTTTCTGACGGGAATGGTTGGCCTTATGAGTGGAACAAAAACTATATATCTCCCTGTATAGTCTTCAAATAAATTTGTCGAGCAGTTGCAATTTAGGCACTAGGCCGGAAAAATGATACTTTCTCAAAGAAAAAACATCCGGGAAGTACCAATTTCCCGATAATAGATTTCACTTCATAGACAGAATTTCATAAACGGATAGTTGTAAAAGAAAAGTAAGTGGATGGCACAGTTGAAACGATTTTCATAGTGGGCAACATGTTTCGTGATAAACATTAATCCGTGAAACCACTCCAGAATAACTGCCGTGGCAATTATTATTGTTATCCGCGTGAATAAAAAAGTTAGTAGCTCGAGATGAAAGCCGAATTAGAAGCACAAACTCTAATGACTGACTAATAAACTACAGCTACACGGCATGCCTCGTATGTCATATCAAAAAAACTCTCAGGAGCGGATCTAGGAAATTGTTGAGGGGGCGCACTTGTGATGACATTTTTTTCCCACAAATGAAGGAAAATTCAGTTGGTCAGTGGACATGATGAGGGTTCAAAATGAAACCAATTACTGTACTTTACTCAAGATTCTGTTCTGTTTATTTCATGAAAGCAATATAGAAATAGAAAACGACAATAATTCATGGATTTTGTATGTCTTACAAATACATGTTACCAACTGAACTGAATCCTATTGAGATTTTAATAAGTATTTTTTGTTTGATTCTATTTTCTGATTTATCTATTGTCTTTTGGGTGTATCTGTTCTCTTTCGCTATTTGGTATATGATTTTCCTTTCCTTGTTCCGGGCTTCATTGTCAAGTGGTATCCTTAACATTCTGTATATGAATGCGTTATAGGCAGCCATTTTGTGTGATGGTAGGTGGTTTGAACTTGGGGGATCAAAGTACTCCAACAGATAAAACAACACAACGATGGACTACATTCACATACGTAGGTCACCAACTTAACAAACATCTGCAAACCCCTGAACATCAACATCACATACAAGAAAAACACGAAAATAACACAAAAAATAAAGAGCTATGAAAAAGAAGAAGACAAAAACCTAAACGGAGTGCACATCATACAATGCTCGGACTACAACAAATTCTATGTCGGCCAAACCAAGAAAAAACTGATCCAAAAGTACGACGAGCACAAAAAGGCATACATAAACCCAATAATATATTAATCAAACCTCGCAACACACGCACTACAAAACAAACATAACTTTCCCCCACCAGAGAACACAAAACTCGTAAAACAAGTCATTGAAGGAAACCGTATGGACATCTGGAAAAACTTCCACATCTGGAAAAACATCCATAAATTTAAAAGTCATAATTCACTTATCGAGAAACAATTACGAATAAAACACAACAAGACCCAACATTCACTATACTACACAATACATAACACATTCCTAGAAACAGTGAACCTAGAGAAAATCCAACACAAAGGATATCACCTAATGTAACCCAAATACAAGCAAATTTACCTGCAGTACCTGCACTAAGGCGTTCTAACCGCATAAAAGAACAAACAAGAGGATGAAACGTTCAGTTTGAGTAGAGCCTTGAAGATGATAGCATGACCAGCTGTCGAAAGCGCTCGCATATAATAAATAGAAGTTATAAAGCTTCAAATCATTTTTGTGACATATGTTAATATTAAAATACTGAAAATAAAGAAAATCAATTGCATCATTCCCATATTGATTTTAATTTAAGAGCCACCGGTAGACAGTTGTTTCAGCCTATTAGGCATCGTCAGTACCGGGCAGGCGGTCCTCGATTGAAGACAAAATGACAAAAACCAAGAAAGTACTTGATAAAAATAGCTGCGTTTACGCAGCTATCTGACCACGTAGTAGCTATAGCAGCCACAAGGCAGCTATATGGTGGTCATGTTAGATGTAGCCTGGGAATTCTAGGTCTTCTAACTGGAACCACAAATGTGCGGTTGGCTTCTGTTCTTGACTCCGTGCGTATGTGTTGTTTCCTTCTTTCGGCAAACAAGTGTTGCCCATCTTCACACTTAACTGCACCGCGCTGATGAGGCCAATAGCCAAAAACACGTGTCAGCGGTTTGCCCCCCCCCCTTTTTAGGAGTGTTGTGTCCACGAATTGTTTCATTTGTGATTTGTATCATGCACACTCAATAAAATATCTAATAGTGACTGAAAATATCATTTCAAATTTAGTGATAGTTTTTTTTTATTAAATGAGTTAAGGGGACAAGAGTGTGGGACTTGCTCAGTCACCACGATATTTCCCCACAATTAAATGTTTTCTGTATCCAGGGGTGAGGGCCCTCCGCCTCTTTGCTGGAGCCGCCACTGAAAACTATGTTAACCCACTTTCGAGGCAAATAAAAGCCACTGTGGGTGTTTAATAGTGTAGATTGGACAATAATCGCTGTGAAGCGTTCTTTCGCGATGCAGGTACTTACATTCGTGTTCGTTATTTTGCAGCAATTATTTAGCCTGCATGGGTATGTGGGGCTCCGAATGGATTTTTCTGATGTTACCTTTGATGGGTCATTGAATGCAAACGAGGTTTTTGCACACTCATTGCGCCGTTTTTATGGTTCTTCGGTAAGAGGTCGCTAGCACCGTTTTCAATAATTTTTTAGTTTTCATATCCTTGATTGAGAGGAGGAATGTGAAAGGAATATCGGTAATAATCGATAATAAATTGAGAGATAGTAGGTCATATTTTCATAGCGTTATAAATGGTTCGGCATTCGATGTTCTGATACAAAAACATTGACGTAAAAGACACTAGCGTTACATACTTCAGGTGGAGAAATACCCGAGTCATATTTCTCATATTCAAATTATTTTCGAAACACATTTAGGCAAACCACTTTTAGTCTTTTCTATGGGACATAACAATTATATTCATATATTCAGAATGCATTCGAAATGTCTTTAAAAAATAATCAAAACATTGGAGGTTAGGGTTGACTGAGCTGAGAATCACGCGTTAAAGAGTAGGACCTCGTTATTCCTTAGCTAGCACAAGTTTCGACTTTTTGGAGTTGTTGTTCGTAGGGGTGCGACAGCTGGTTAATGAAAAAACAGATTTTTCCAAACTAAAAATCATATGGGTACATTTGATTAGCGATTCATTTCTCTCATGTTGGTTCATTCGTCTCGAACATATATTGACAGTTTAAACTATTTAGCATATTTAGTTTGTTGATGAGAGGTATAAAAGTTACACGTGTTTCAAGTGTTCGGCAATTTTTTGTTATCGAACTCCAGTGCAAACTCGAGCGATACGATAAGCAACGGAGCAGTTGTTTTCATCAGTCATCATGAGCTCCTCTGAGGAGGAAGTTGTTTCTGCTGGGTACACCCATACAATGTTTAATATTAAACACAGTGGTTTCCCGTCAGCTCCCTCAACATGAACAGAAATTTGGAGAATTTTATAGAATGAGTTCAAATAGTTACCATGTTTTATTGCGATTGGAGTCAAGAGTTCCCCAGGGCTCTAATTTGGGGCCCCTACTGTTCGTTCTCTTCATCAACGACTTACCATCAGTATTAAATTATACTGAGGGTGTTTTGTTCGATACTTCAGGGCAAGTACTAGAGTGCCACCAAGATTTAGCCAAAGCCTCGGTAGATAATAACATTATCCCGAGGTGGGTTAAAGGGCACGACAAGAGTGAAGGTAATCGCATTGCCGACTCTTTAGCCAAGGAAGCGGCTGGACTAAGGATTTTAGGACCCAGTGGCACCAACGATCTGATGACCTCGACAATTGCGGAACTAGCCAAATGTTATACCCATGCTCAATCCCTACAGAGATGGGATGGGATCAAAGGATGCAATCTTGGCAGGATCACCTTGGGCGACCCTGGAAAGCTGGCGCCGAAGAAATATCTGGCGATGACCAGGAAAAATCTACACTTGTCAGTAGAATTTATGACTGGCCACTGTCAACTAAGGAAACACCTCCATAATATGCAGGATGTGTGAACAGCAAGATTAGACCGTCAGGTATGTCTTATGCGAGTGCCCGGAGTTATCGTCAATAAGAGGAGAGGTCTCCCAGAGACCTGTCCACCTCCCTGGAACGGACAGGATGGACGATGACCTAGGAGGACAACTTCTCGGGAGGATGTACAATGAGTCACAAGTGGCCTAAGTGCTATGAGCTTACACTCACCCTCCCTACTCTACAGATACAGATATGCATGCACGCCTATGACTGATCGGTGCAAATCTGGATCGGGTTGCTTATCTGTTACATCGCTTATAGTATCGCTCCAGTGGGAACCGCGCCTCAGCTTCGAAGCAACACGTTCGACTGATAGATTCGTAGCGATAAATCGCCCATCAATAACAATCATCACCGCCGAAAGTAATAACGAGAGCTGAGGAATTCGAATTGCCCATTATATCATCTTTCGATAACCAGCTTTCATAGCAAAATAACGAGTGTGGCAACGGTACCGAGTCGTTCCACTTCGAACTGAAAAATCTCGAGTCACAATTATGTAATGGCAGGTTGTGATAAAACGTTCGATTGCGGGTCTCGATGTAAACAAACGTTATGCAAAAAGAGCATCGTTTCATTTCCCGGGGACATGGGAATGTTGGTATCGTGTATCTCTGTAATTTGCCCGTTTACAACCTCACTTCTGCAGGACGGCAGAGACATCGTGATGAATTGCGCGGTGAGGAATGAGGTCTTTGAAGAGGCTGGAAATATTGCCCTCGGGCGCTGAGTTTATTACAGCTTCCGCCAGTGATGTCTCCCCAACAGATCTGGGATGGGAGGTTTCTTGGGACTTCAAACAGAACATGCTGAACAGCTGAAATTGTGAACATATGTTCAAATCGAGTATACCAACATAAAAATTTTAAAAAACGCTAGTCGAATATGCGAAGCCCGCGAAATAAGCATTCACCTTTTTTTTAAACAGTTCACGGCGAAAGATTGATTTTCTGAATTTACAAGATGTCCGACGAAGAAGTTAAGGTTAAAAAGGGCCGCAAAGCTGCAGCTGAAAGTACAAAACGAACCAAAAATGATGCTAAAGCAGAAGCTGAAGAAGAGGTCGACGCTCCGCCAGCCAAAAGAGGTCGTGGAAGGCCGAAGAGAGCGTCGAAAAATAAGCCAGAAGCAAAGGAAAGCAAAGCTGAGGCAAATGGAGTAGGTCGCCGGGGAAGATCCAAGAAAGAAAAGGTGGAATCAGCTGAAGAAGAGGTTGATGAGAAAAGTAGCGAAAATGCAGATGAAGATGATGAATAAGGATATTTTTTTTATTTGACGGTTTCGAGATATTCAATATGTTGAATGGATAGATGAATGTAGTTTGAGTCAGTATTGAAATTCACTTATTATCATAATGAATGGTTGATACTCGTATTGTAAGTTTATTTGTCCCCTAGTTCATTCCACTTTGAGTAAATGCAAATTTTGTACATATTTTAAGTCAAAAGTTGATTTTAATTAATACTGTTAGATATTTATTTATTTATTTATATATTTATATCCAAACAGACCTATCGGTCTCATTACATGGATAAATTGAACATTGTAACTTAATATTGCAAAGAAAAAAAGTGCATAATGCAGCAACAGCACACATAAGAGCATTATACACTCATATCCAAGATATAATGCAAGCAAATGCTTCTAAATTCACTTTGTGACAGAGTCCAATCCAAATCAAACATTGCATTGAAGTTGTTGGCTATGTATGGACTCTCATTTTAATATCCTGAAAGTACATGAAATAAGAAAATATAACCCCAAAGGTTGGTTTTCAATGTTCAAAGACACTGCCTATTTTTAGAATAACAATAATTTAGTTCCATCCAGTAGCGGTTGAAACTTTTGATGTTTATGGCCCGGAGTCTCTGTTATTCGTTCATGAACTCGGAAAGAGAATAGGCCAAGCAACGAAAGATCACCGTTCTACCTCTTTTTTGATAGAAAGAATTAGTATTGTTATTCAACGTGGCAATGCTGCTTCAGTACTTGGAACTATTCCGCCTTCACATAATTTTGATGAGATCATGCATTGCCCTAATTTCAGTACGGAACTGAAATCTCTTCGAAACAAGCCGAGATATGTGGATATTCAACAGTCTCCTATCAAGGTTAATTCACAAGAAATTGATCCACCTTCTTCTCTTTTTCATTGCGGTCGATGGACTTAGGTCATTCTTGCCCCCCAAATATGAGTTGCAGTCCTCGTAGTTCTGGTTCCCTTTCAGTGGAAGAGCTTCATGAAGCAAGAGCCGAATCGATCCCCCTACGAAACCCTTCTTCACTTGGAAGGATCGATCGCAGCTTGAGAAATGGTCCTTATGGAGATTCTGTGAAACGTGTTCTTCTTCACGAATAAGTAGAGAGTTGCCCTGAAAATCTAGAGAAAAAATTGGAATGGATAATTTAGGAAACACTTGCTACATGAATAGCATTTTACAAGTGTTGTTCATGACGAAGAATTTCAAGAACGAAGTTTTAATGATGAACGAGAACGGGAATGTTTCCTGCTTATTCATCAAACTCAAACACCTGTTCATGCAGCTGCAGTTTCGTAAGAATGTATTATCTTTCCCTCCAACCGATTTCCTGGAGTCTTTGAGGTCCACTAGATACTCATTAGGACAACAAGAGGATTGTTCCAAAATCTTAGGATTCTTGTTGAATACTCTTCGTGAGCAAAACAATAGCAGAATCAATACTCCTGACCGCTGTGGACTGAATGATTCCGTACAGTCTGTTTCGTCTTGTGTTTGTAAATCTTTTGCTGGAAAAATCCTCACTTGTTTACTTTGTAGTAAATGTTCGAAAAGTAGCAAAAACGTATGTGAATTTCTGGAACTTCAACTAGCGTTTCCTAATTGACTAATAACCAGTCCGTGCAAAGCTTATTGTTAAATCATCTGAAAATGGAACTTTCAACAGGTGATTATCGACTGTATTGACAAACATGCGCCAAACTAACTGATTGTTATAAGGAAAAAAGTATAGTTGAGGCACCAGTCAGCCTAATAATAACACTGATGATCTTCAAACAAGACTCAACCTCTGACGGAAGCAAGAAACTCTTTCGAAGGTTCGAAATAGATGAACATTTCAACCTAGCAAACCACTGTTATAATATAAGTGTTCTGGCGATGTATTGGATCTATTGGAGCCTCTGGAGACACCCTACATTTTGTTTTATGAGAGAGAGGACGTTGGCAGATCAAGATCTTCAGATGATGTGATGCTGCAGGTTTTTCCAGCAGCTGAAGAAGCAAATGCGCAACTGGAATCAATGAAGTCGCCCCGGAGCGCCAATTAATTTTTATTGTTGAATCATTTAGTTCCTTCCTTTCTTTGGAAGATTCCCTCATCCTTTTTTTGTATCAAGATGTAGTAGTAGAAAGCCAAACACTTTCTTTCCCAAAAATTAATCACTCCTAAAAATATAATCCCTTCATTTTTAATTAATACTGTTTAGGAAATTATTAATTCTACATATTAATTCACAATAATTAAGAGTATTTTATAATTTAGATTTGTGAGATATGATGTACCTACAGTAAACTTGAAAAACGTAAACTTTCACGACCGGAAAAGGCTATTTTCCGGATTTTCTGGCTGTGGCCTGCAGGTTTTTATGCGGTAGACATTTGCAAAGGCCCGAGCTAGTGCTCTGGTTCTTATTCCTGTTGTATCCAACGCATTAACTACTATTTCCGTACTGGGTGCTCTATTTGAGACCATCTTCAAAAGAAAGTTCTTTCGATCTTTGGAGGGTTACAGCCCTCATGAATTAAGGAGAGCACTGCGCTGCGTGTCCTGCTCATCGTCAGTACAAAAAAGTTTGTTTCATAATCTTCTGCAGGCAACATTTCAGTCATCAGCAAAATTCGAAACGACTTTTTGCCACACGACAAATCGCATCAGATTTAGTCGCACGTCAATGCAAGCCAGGAGCATCGACCCCTCCTCTTGAAGAACAGAAGAAGTGGTCGTCGCAAGCAAGTCGACAGACTTGCCTGCTCTCGGTACCACTTGCGAACCATCTCGCGAACAGAAGTACTCGCTCCGTGGTACGACCCGAAACCGGTCTTGGCGTACGTGATCAGCTGGAATAACGGCGACAAACGAGTCCTGCTACTGACTTTCGGACGTTCCGCAGGAAATGAGACGGTTCGTTTAGCGTTTGATAGTAGATTTGTGGTCGCTTTTGTGGTGTAATTGGCGTGCTGTGAGATGTACTTAATTGTTGTTTTTTCTGCTCTTCAGGCCGCGGCGCTCGCCGATGTTACTGGTGAGTTGTATTAATTAATGTCGACGTACAGATCGGTTTTGAAGTGTGCCTGATACTATCGCTTCTGACAATTGCACAGCTTTATACAGGGTGTCCCTGGGGTCAAAATATCACCAGTACTTCTTATAACTTTTGTTCCTAAAATCCTTCGTTATCAACTTACGGGCCCTCAAAGTTACAAAATGAAAAATGTTTTTCTTTGAAAATTCCACGCCTGTAATTTTGAACCAATCAAAATACGTTATTTTGGCAAATCACCATGGCAATGGAGGTACTTTAGTGGAATTTTTTTTCTCGTGGGATACCCAGCAGCGAATTGTAATGGACATTTCTTGACGTTTACAATAACAGACCATTTTTGACACATTCGTTTTTATTTGTTCACATAAAATTTAGTTTTGATACATTTTAATTACAAAGCCAAGATGTTTTCTATATTCAATTGAGTGTCTATGTCTGATAAAATATATATAATATTTAGACACTGATTTATTTACCTCTTTCCCATTCAGCACTTTCGATTTTTCATAGTTTAGATGCAAATATTCGTGAACAAATTTTCTTTCTTCAAGTTGGAGCCACAATCCTCTATTAATGCGAGTAAATAAGTCATGGTACGATAATTGATCTTTACATCAGACAATTTTACGCACATTTTGCATATAGTATGATTTTCAAATCGATTTAAACAAAGAATTTTGTTGGTTTTACTGGCTGTGCAATATTCTTCATTGCAACAAAACACGAGATTTTTTGATGTTTTGAACACAACCTCCTATGATTGATGCTTGCTGACGCGGGTTATGAATTCCATACCATTAAAGCGCGCATAACCCACATTAATGTGACGGTTTACGGCTTTCTACATAATTTTTTATATAACTGATAGTACAGCGACTATAGTTATTTACAGGATTTTTTGCCTTTTTTGGGAATAACGTATTCAAAAAACACTTGATGCATCTACCGTGTTAGGAATCACACGTTAAAAGGTAAGACCTCGTTAGTCCTTAGCTCGCTCAAGTTTCTCAACTTCTGAGAGTTGTCGTTCGTATGAGGACGACAGCCGACTAACGGAAAAGCAGAACAGAAAAGAAACTCAAATTTCAACAAGGCATTCGTAATCAATGATGTGCTGGCAGCGGTGGTTGTTTTTAGTATCTGGTTCAAACTTAATGTCGTCCAATGAAAGCTGCAGAGAAACACAGTCGACGATCGATGTCAAAGCTAGGCTTTGCAACAGATCGACGTTGGGTGCTGTTTTATCATTGATATTCTGAAGGGGTGATTTCATCGCCACTGATGAGACCTATGGCGGGTCGAAACGGCGCTCTCAAGTGTCGGATCGTGAATGCTTTGTTTTTGGGCTCTGATGATTTAAGCATTCTGTAGCTGAAACTCCAAGAAACATTTATTGCTGATTAAGGTACCTATATTTAGGAATTTTTAATTTTTTCATGTTTACCATTCATCTCATCTTATATTGAAAAAGCTCAGGGAGCTAAATAACGTTATTCAATTCAATAGTGTGGCGATGTCTCTTGTGTCTAACGCCCATGTATTCACGCGATAAGTTTGCTATCTACAGACGCTTCTTATTTTAATCACTCCTTTCGTGATGGCAAGTAAATTGATTTGGAGTCTATTTTATGCAGATATCTCACTATAGATTTTCAGTTGTTACTAACAAATTTTGTCAATGCTTTCTCTTCAAATATTAGGATCTGTTGGGAAAAATTGGTAAGCCTCATTTTGATATCTCGTTAAAGCATTGAAGCTGATGAATGAGAAATTGATCATTGCGAATTTGGTATTGGAATAAAACAAAATGTCCACTGCTATTGATAGAAATCAGGCCTGGTATTGTTATTACTGCAATGAAGTGCAATTAAGGTAGAACATGTGGTTACTTTCGCGTTGTAACCTACTTTCCGATCAATATTTTCCATTTGAAATTATGTTTATGTCGAATTTACTTTCTAGTGATGATTCACGGATATTACTATTCAATTGATTTTTTTATAGAGTTATATCGAAGAACAATTCCTACTTTGGATATTTGAAAAGAAAAATGGAAATTCACCTTATTTTTGACCAGATCGTGCCTTACTTGACCATTTTTTTTAAACTATACACATTCTTCAATCAAAATAGTACATAAGTAACACAATTACTTTATGCTGAAATAATTTCCATCATCTTCAGAGTCGGAACCGTCACAATTATGAAAGTTGAAGTGTTATGCCTCACAATTTTCGTTCTGCAATATATCATTAAAAGTCGCTTTACATTTAGGCAAATAAATGACGAAATCTTGCGTGCAATGTAAAACGCAATATAATGAACGTTTAACATTAACTCAAATAATTTTCTGATTGTCGTTCATTAGCAAATGCAATTTCACCTGAGGTTAATGGGCAGCTATTTCCCAGAGTTCTCGTTTGCTGACGTTTCCTTGCTTACTTTGGATACAAAAATGTTTTTGATGGTTCATATTTTAAGCCATAACTCGGATATACATCCATTGAATAATGTTGAATTTGGCATATACAGGGTGTATCAACGATGTTTGGGTAGACGATGACTGTACTAGATGACGACTGACTTTAAGATGGGAAAGAATGTCTTGAATGAAAGCTATAGAGACTAAGGAAGGCTGTATCTTGATAATTACCATAAATATACAAGGTGTTATCAAGCTGTGGTTCCATTCAAAAGAGTTGTTCTTAAAAATATACGGTTTATTCAAAATTTCATCTATATAGTAGCCAGTTTTCAATAAACGGGTAATTCAAATTCGAGATTACATTCTTTCATTGTTTTCAAATGGAACGCCCTGCAAGCAAGGCGTTATGAGAATTATGAGCTTTCAGAAAATATAGGATTTGACTATTTGATTTCTATCGGAAAAAAATGGAAGGAATGTAATGAAAATTATCGATAACTACTAAATCACAGCTGATTTATTTTCTGGGGAGACTTTATTATTTCCGGTGGTCATTCTTTTAGATTTCAATAATCTGGAAATATGTCAATAGATGGGTTTACTGTAAAAAACCAACGACACTTGAGAAATAAAAATAGACCCAGAGATATTTTTTGCTTTATTACAAGCAAAGCAAGAAGTGTGAAAGTTCGAAAAGTAATTTGAGATAAACTTAATTCATGCATAGCTTGAAATGGAATACTGTTAAAACATATCTTGAGGATTTCAATTTTTGTTAGAATTTCATTCTTTAACCTGTTTTAACTTGCATCGCTATCACTTTGATTTACCGACTTTCTTCTGCATAGCTCGGAGTGGAAGATTGTTGGAACGTGTCTTGCGAATTCACCATTTTGTTTTAATTTTATTTTTTACCGTGTTTTAACTTGCATTTAATAAAAAAAAACGTTATCACTTCGATTTCATAACTGTCTAAAACTTTCATTTGAAACAGTGTTCCAAGCTTTTGTTGATACACTCCAAATATTGAAAAAAGACTGGGACTCTTTCTTGATTCTATTTTGAAAAAAAAGAAGCCATTTTTTTAAGGAGTAACGGTGGTGTTTGAAATGTATGGAAGTGAACGTTTTTGAAAATGTTGAAACTTGATATCTGAGAGAACATTCTTAATGACGAAGAAACAATCCGTTGAAGACCTTCCTTGTGTATTTTTGGAAAAAACATTTTATGCAGGTGCCAAGTTATGGATGAGAAATATTTGTTTTTATGAATCCAATAAAAATTTCCAAATCGAAGCAGTTTTATTATTTCATAATGAACAATCGATCAAGACGCAAGCTTGAGGTTCTACAAATTTAACTGCGAACAAACACCTGCACTAAAAATCATTCAATCAAACGTTGTAAACGACGTATTTATCCTGGATAAGGAAAATAATCACGTTTCTTGGAATACAGCAATAATTACCAATTCACCTCACACTTCTTTCACATTATGCACCGCGAATGCAGAAGGTCAAGTTGAAATTGCTCTGCTATTACCTCACTCAATCTTGCATTACACTAACCTTCTTCGAAGTGAGTTTCTACCAGTGAAGAACACTGTCGTTCGATATAACGGCCAAGACATTAATGAAACAAGTTTATCAAAAGCTTAACGGAAATCCCAATTCGTGATAGACATTCACCCAAAGAAATCATTAACGGATGTTTGATAGGTATAATTTATCTTCAGGTTCATCACGATATTTTCATGCTCATGGTATATACTTTTTTGTATGTGATAGAGTTGGCCGATACTGGATGAAAATCTATAACGAATTCAAGTAAAAGTTGATTGTGGGATTTTCTCTGGACAGTTTACAAAACCGCAACACGTGTTCCACTATACAATAGCTTCCTCATGTTCACGCTCAGAATGAACACGCCCGAGAGAAACACGTGTTGCACACTAAACAATAGATCCCTCTGTGTGAACACGCCCGAGATAAAAACGTGTTGCACTCTATACAATAGCTTCTTCGGAGATGTTTACACTCTGTATTAACACGCACGAGTGAAACATTAGTCACTCACTCACCCACTATACAGTAGCTTCCTCGGTCGTTTTTACATTCTATATGAACACGCCTAAGTGAAACACGTGTCCCTCACTGAACAGTAGCTTCCTCAGGTGAATGAACAAGTTTGGATGAAACATATGTTTGCATACTATATAATAGCTTCCTTGGGCGTTTTTGCATTCTATATGAACACGCCTAAGTGAAACACGTGTTGTTCATTATACAGTAGCTTCCTCAGGTAAATGAACAAGTTTGAATGAAACACATGTTCGCATACTATATAATGGCTTCTTCGGGCGTGTTTACACTCTATATGAATACGCCTGAGTGAAACACGTGTTGCTCATTATACAGTAGCTTACTCAGGTGAATGCACATGTTTGAATAAAACACGAATGCACACTATACAATAACTTCCTCGTTCGCGTTCACACTCAAAATGAACACGCCCCAGTGAAACACGTGTTGCACACTAAACATTAGCTCCTTCTG